CAATTTTAAACGAATTTGTAGATGTGTTAGCTTTTTTTCTGAAGCCGCTATACAGGCTCAAGCAGAAAATAATCCTTCTATCAGTATTGTAGCTCCTTCTCTTCTTTCAATTTGTTTTGATCTTATAAAACAGAAAGAAGGTTGTCAACATCTCTCATCACTAGTCGAAGCTTTACTCGTTGCATTAAAATCTCGTTTCAGTGCATTATTAGAGGTTCTTTCTATTCCAGTTGAAAAGTCGGTGAAAAAGAACAAAAATTTTTATGAACTTTACACAGATAACATTTTTCTAATCAGTTCATTTTTAGATAGTAAGTTTAAACTGAATTGGGTTTTAGCTTCACCACTTTCAACTGAGAATAAAATAACAATTTGTGAAAACGTAAAAAAACTTGTTTCAGATGCAGCTTTGTCATTACATTTGAAAATTTTGGGTGTTCAGAAAAAACAAAGTAGTCAGCAGGGTGAAGCTTCAACGAATACTAGTGGTGCTTTTGGCAACTTGAAAAGAAAATCTATTTTCGGTTATATAGAAAGTAATGAAAAAAAACAAAAAACTTCTATAGCAATATCAAACAACGATATTGGCGAGAAAATTTTACTTTATCTGAAAGAAGAAGATACAGACAGTAGTTTAATTTTCAAGAAATCTTCTCTGTACCCGATGTTGAGCACACTAGCAACAAAGATATTATGTGTGCCAGGTACTTCAGCTCCGGTTGAAATAGTGTTCTCTCAATCCGGTTTTCTTATACGACCACATCGGGCAAGAATGACGAGAAAAACCATCTCCTGCCTTACTTTACTCAAATGTAACTTTTCTCTTATGAATTAGGCTTTTCTTTTCATTTTCTCATTAAAAGAAGGAAACAAAAAGTCCTGTCTTTTTCTTTTTTTAACATTTAGTTCTAGTCTTTTTTTGTTACTATAGCCACGTAAACAAACAGTTACTCTCTGATAAAAAGAATGGAAGTGGAAAACAATGTGTGCAGTGGCCAACATCGGACTTAAAGCTTAGCGCACTGGGACTAGAACAGTTTAACTACATAGCGGATTGGGACTGATTCAGACCTAGCCTCTACTGGACTGTGACTGGAAAAGTACCGGACTTGCCCATCTCTGGGTCTCACATACATGTCAAATAATAAAGGATAGAGGGCAGAACCTTGCGGTACCCCATCTGCAAGATGGTTGTTGCACAGTAAATATGTTGATTTAAATAAACGAACGTTTGATTTAGTTGACAAATCGATGTAATAATATCTACGATTTTTCGATCAACATTAAACTTTTTGAGTTGCTCGATCAATTTCGTTGGTTGTATGCTGTTAAATGCTGAATCTATATCTAAGACATAAGCTAATACTAGATCGCTGTGACAGTGATAGAGGAATGTGGTAATGATAGAGCAAATCGCCGTTTGAAAGAGAAAGCCTTTTTAGAGGAACAAATTCCAGGTTTGAATGGGAACTTCAAAGGGCATGCGTCGATACGGCGCTATGCATAGATCAGAGAGAGAGTCATCATCTGTCACCAACTCTTAATGAGTGAGCCCAAAACTTCTCATTTATTCGCCTCGTCCAATATCTGTAGCCATGCCTTATTTGTTTTTGCTTTATATGCCATTCCTGAGGTAGAAAAGTATAATTTATTTCTAAATTTATCGTTGATATTATCTGAAATTGATCAACGCACACCTTATTAGTTTATGTACGACATTTTACGAGAAATTTGGGATACGCTTTACAGCAGTTATCCAAGAAAAAGCTAGCTAAATTCTTTTTGAAAATCTCTTCTCTAACTGCAAAACCGAACTTTCGTCAGTCGTCTTTTCCCTTTCTTGAATGACCACACTGTTGGAAACAGGGTTGTCCATGTTTTTGACGTTCTCATACTGCTTCCAAATCGGTATGTCATCAAAGAATGTTCATGTTATCCGTTAACAACGATAGCAAATGAAATAATTACCATTTTAGTTAATGTATAGCGTGAATCAGTCCTATACTTGTGTTGTCTTCCGAATAATGTAATTTTTCCTATTACTGTGCACACTACTCGATATACATCTCCGGTCGCTGCTTTTCAAAACACATAGTACAGTAAATATTTATTTTTCAAACACCAATTAACACTAATTCAAACACTAATTACAATAAATTTTAAACTAATTTGTAAACTATTTATTTCAAATTGTAATTTGTAACTCTTACGTAAGAGATAAAACTTCTTTACATGCTCGGTAACATTCTTCTGTTGTATTAAATATATTATCTGTTTCATATGATAAACCAATACCACCATAGATGAATGGTTTGCAGTCACGTTCAAATGTATCATACCAAAAACGATTAAAACTTGCATGTCCGGCACCCTCCTTACCATAGAATGATTTACCATAACAACGACGAACTAAATTGTAAAACAGAATCTAGAAATTTTATTAATTCTAACGGACAAATCAACGAGAAAAAGAAGTTTCACTGTTTCTCACAATTTTAAGCTACTGTTAATCATTTTTTTAAAAAA